AGCCTAGCCCAGGCGCGAACTGGCGACCTGGTCCTTGCGTGACCTGGCGGCCTGGCCCTGGCACGACCTGGCGGCCTGGAACAGGCGTCGAACTGACGGCCTGGCATAAGCGCCAACCTGGCAACCTAGCACAGGCGTCGACCTAGTGACCTGCAAGACGTGCTCGCTGACAAATTCGGCATGCATATCCTAACACTCCCACGATCCTTGGAAGTTGGCCCACATGCCGAACGATCCGGAGGGTGGTCAACGTGCATGGCGGTTACCTCAAGGAATCTCGGACCACTTAGACGACTTCTCGGAAATCTCGAATGCGGTGCGTGAAGCCCACGCCAAACTATGCCTATATAAAGGCACCAACCCCAATGGCATATGGGGGCAAGTAAGCATATTCTAGCTCTCATACTTTGTGATTTTTAACTCACAGTCTACTATGAGAGTACTGACTTAAGCATCGGAGCGACCTCGCAGGGTTAGCCACCCCGGGTCCTCTGACATTGATTCCTTGTAGGTCTCTAAAGAACTACGAAGCTCAATAATCAATCCATCTCGGCACTCTAGTCATCTCGGCAACTAATAGGTAGCTCGGCTCTCTGGTCAGCTCGGCACCTAATAGGCAGTTCGGCCCTCTAGTCAGCTCGTCACCTAACCTGCCTAGCTTGGCCCAGTCAGGTCATCACCTAACCTGCCTAGCTCGGCCCAAGTCAGTTCGGCACCTAACCTGCCCAGCTCAGCCTAGTTAACTCGGCACCTAATCTGCCCCCAACACGGCCTGGTCAACTCGGCAGCAAGGTCCTCATCTAGCAAAAAAATTCACTTCGGCCTCTGAGTCATCGGCCACTTGGAAGCATACCAAATGACGAGGTACTTAGCACAAAAAATTGATACATCACCAAAAATTGATTCATCATCTACGATGGCTTTGGGCCCACCGCAGACCTATGATGGGCTACAAGCTTATCACAGGCCTATAATGGGCTATAAGTTCATTGCAGGCTTAGTTTTGATGCCTTCATTGTGGTCTTCACTAAATGGAAATACATGTACTTACAATTAACCCCCCCTGCTTCTTGGTAAGTGTATTCCTATCAATAAGCATTTCTATGATTGGTGTGATTTCTTTGCTCCCTTTATCGCGTGTTGCTTCTTTCATCATGCATTTTGGTATGGGTTAAATTATTATGGTTGACACATGGGGGAAGGTGACTTTGAACTCGCTTTCGTCTAATCGCTGGTTATCTCTTGGAGTTTGGCGTTGCATGCAGGCTTTTGGTGGCTACTACCGTTGAGGTTCAGGATTATTTTATATTATCCATCTATTGTGGGGATCATGAAGTTTTTGAGCACGTCTTGGGAAAGGATATTGTTGTTGGGGTGCATAATTTGGAGGTTGTTGCACTACAAGAAAATGCCGCTAAAGATAGGTAAAACCGCCACTAAAAGCTATAATGACATTTTCAAATTAAACCACCGATATCCGAGTCAGTAAAAGTTTTAGTGGCATTTATCCTATTTTTAGTGGCACTTAAATAAATGCCAATAAAACTTATTTTTAATGGTGTTTATCAAAATTTTAGTGGCACTTATATAAACACCCATAAAAACTATTTTTAGTAGTGTTTTCTTCATCCTTGTGGTAGTTTCAAATGCCATTTTTAAATTTAATAATGGCATTTGTTGGCACATTTAGTGGCAACTCTTAATGCCACTAAATAGCAACCTCTACAGTGGAAATTATAAGTGCCACTACAAGGTTACCATAAGAGCTAGCTAACAACAACAATATAATAGCATTTATTTCTTTATCTAACAGCATTTTTAAATGTCATAAAATATTTATTTGTATAGTGGCATTTATAAATGCCACTAAAAAGTCTTAATCATTCTATTCATTTAGGATTGAGTGGCATTCACAAGCACCACTAAATAGGGGTGTAAACAGATTGAATTTGAATTGGATCAAGTAATATCCAAATCCAATTAGAAAATATGATATCCGAATTCAATTCGATATTCGACAAATATTGAAAATTAATATCCGAATTTGAATCTGATTAAATATTCGATTTGATTCGAATTTGATTAATTAATTATTTTATATAATTAATAAATATAC